GTCACTTACGACGTGCACGGTGCGGAAATCAATTACCAGAATCGTACGCTGTCCAAGCTAGCCGAGTCTTTCATGCTCCAATGTTGGTTGTTTGGTAGCGACTCGTTTGGGATGACAGCAACACTACCTTGCATATCGGTTGACCCGTTTAGTTTTCTGGGGAATCCATGGGAATTACACCGAACTTCGAGCGCCTTTGTCGCGCACCCTTGGATCCTTCCAGCCGTAAAGGGTCGACGAGCTCAACACGTGTTCGCCTCTCTACCACGATAGGGCATGGAACATGAATGGAATCTTAACACATTGCGGACCGCCTACTGCACCATGGATCGCATTCAAAATGCCACAACTATTGTGAATCGACTTCAAAGCGCTGTGAAATGGCAATTCTGATATTATGCGCGTCCGTTAATATCGTTTTGAAAATTTCAAAAGTCTTAGTTCATCAACTCGATTTTAGGTAGGGAAATCACCGCAAAAAAAAACTAAAGAAGTCAGTTTCTCGGATCTCGTTTACGATATACTTCCACAAAGCTTAGAGGCACACCCTGCGATCAATTCAGGTGAATAAATCCTTTTGCTGGGCAGGATGGAGTTGTTCACAGAGGCTAAAAGTGTGCCGTTCACGCGGTTAGAGAAAGCGTGAAAAGCGTGTTGAGGTCTTGTCACGACAGCCGTCCGTTTAACCACAGCGTCACCTAACCAGGTATCTGCGCCCTCTTCTCCGTTATGCTCTCGTGCCTATCTTCCTCTCCAGCGCTCAATGTCTCTTCCTTAAGCGTAGGCCAGCTCACAAAAAAGAGGAAGCCATCAGTTTTCGCGGATTCTATTCCATATTTTTGCGCTCTATATCGCACCTTTCCCTTCATTTCGGGTTGCAAGAATCACATCGATCTGATCTTGGCGTGTGCCCTTGAATACAAAAAATCATTAAAATGAGCAGATGAACGCAGACAAATGACAGCTCCTGCGATTACAGCAGCTTTTACTCATTTTTGCAAAATTCAAGTAGATATTCAAAAGGCTTGACTGG